CAACGTCATCGTTTGACTACGTCATCGTTTGACTACGCAATCGTTTGACTACGCCATCGTTTGACTACGTCATCGTTTGTGCCCGATTGAATCCTCACACCTCTGACGGGACGTGAGGGAGGCCAAAGGTGTTTTTTTCTTCTGCGACAAACTGTACTCGGGCAGCAGGAATCACCTCACTGCTGTCCAGGCGTGCCACGGTCCGTCCCCCTATCTGAGGTCGGATGTCTCTTGGGTGAGAAGGAAGCATATAAGAGTGATTTAAGCATTCGCCACTGTGCTACCTGTGTTCCTACCCACCTCGCAGTCGAACTGGGTTACGGTACAACACTCCCTAGGGAGCTGGTTGTCGCCAGGACTATTCCAATACTATACGAGGCAAACGACGCCTCCAACACGGCCAGATGTAGCCGCAGATACACTCCTCGCTCTGACTGTGGTTCAGCGCTGTCGTCACCTGCCCCTTTATAGCGAGCATCCGACCATTTTGTACCTTTCACTTGTCGTTACATCATACGAGTAAGATTCGATCAGTAACACCAGTTCTTAAGAAATCCTGAATAGCTCAGAATTAATTTTTGTAGTAACCGACCCCGCGAAGGTAATCTCACTTGACTTCCGGCTCACCACTTTGAAAGAAATAAAGTTCACTTGCTCACAAAGTTCACTTTTTCCAACGTGCGTTTTCTGTAATGTTCGTAACGCACCAATGTTCCAAAAGTGTTTGTGTAAGAAATTCTACGAAAGCTTGAAATGCTATGATTAAACAAAACAAAAACGTGAACATGAAACTATTATCTTGCGAACTCAGCGAAACGGTATGCTATGACTTTGAGATCTCCCCAATGGCGTTTGTCACAGTGGCTCTTTTGACACTCCCTTAAAGCTGCCACGAACAGCCGAGCACCCTAAGCGGAGACCCGCGAAGGACAACCCGCAGCTCAGGCGACAGGCTGCTTGACCTGAATGGGGTCCTAGGGGCTTCCGGCGCTCCTGGATACCCTGGTGAAAGTGGTGTATTGGGATCGCCGCGACTGACCCGCACGACCCGCCACCAGGATCCGATCAGCCCGGGGGCGCAGGTGGGAAGTGAGGGGGGGGGGGGGGGTAGGGCATGCACTGGTGATCCCGATGAGGTGACGCCGATGACACGAGGATGAGAGTGGTAAGAGAGCGGGATGCGGGAATAGGGTTGGTGGGAAGAGCGTGGGCTGGACAAGGAGCAGGAGCTCACGCACCGGCAGGGTCAATACTCGAGTGAGCGTTACTCCCCTACACCGACCGAACCAGTGCCCCGGCGGGTATGTAGGGAGCTTATGTGGGCCAAGGGCGCTCCGCCCAAACCGCCGCGCAGTTCCCCGGGCTAACTCGATCAATAACTGATGACGCATGGCAGTCGGCAGCTACCATTTCCCCTCGTTGCGTGCACACTAAGTCGATACCGCGGTGTTGACACCGGCGTTTGTCCTCTGACGCGGGGATATTAGCGCATACATGCATCTGGCACACCTAAATGATAAAATGGAAGCAAGCATATCGCCGCGTTTATAATGTCGCGGTAGAACAAACGCCACACTTAGTGGATTGCTTGCGCCTCGTTTGGGTTCGTCTGTGAACGTATATGGTGATACGTTTTGCGAGTGCATCCGAGTGCATGCGAGTGCACTTCATCAATTTTCGGGCCTGCCTGTCTATTTGTCTTGTCGGCCAGCCTGTCTGTCCGCGGGTAATGCAACCACAGACAAGCAAATTTCATTTCGTAATCCTAGGGCAAGTGCAGAGGCGTTGGGCGACTTCCGGTGATGTGATGTGATGGTGATGTAACGATGACGTGAGGATGTGTATTTGACGTGGAACTGCCGCGTGGGGGCGTCGGACTGCCAGCCAACCAAGCGCAGCTCCCAAGGTCGGCTGTGTGGGATTTCTATCGCACATGAACCGCCAGTCTCCGGCTCTCAGTCACCACGGACCAATAGTTATTACCCGATGGGGGGGATGGGGGCGCACCCAGCCTCAGTCGGGGACGTGGGTTCGAATTAGAGCCCACAGACTCGCAACCCGCGAACTCAAAATACCCAAAGGGCGTTCAGCATGCATCGCTGACTACATTCCGAGTCTTTGAGGGTATTCTGCAGCTATTTGCCCTTACTTAGAGGGTTTTCTACAGCTATTTACCCTTGCTTAGACCACCGCAAACTATTTCGCAAACGTAAACACACCAATGATGGGTAAACATGAGACAAGGCTACATTTTACGCATCAAGGTATTCGAAATAAGTGCATGATATATCACTTAACAGAAAGCTTTCGAAAACAGGGTTATAGAAAGCAAGCCTATACATGAGAAAATACGTTTCGTTTCCGCATTTCCTTACCGACTGATCCAGCAAGGACGAATGCGGCCCTTCCGCCCGCAGCGGTCGGCCACCGCCCCTCCAAGAGCCCCTCGCCATCTCTTCTCTCCCCCCTCCCCTAACGTCGGGTGCGTGGCACGGTCTAAGGCGGCGCGCAGGGGTTGGGTATGGACATTAGCCCTGTGTACATACAAAATTTAAAACGATGCAAGATTAGCACCAGAAGGTTCCTTTCTAAAGCGACTGCTTCAGATTTGTGTGGTTTGAACTGAAATTGCGATAATGAAGATCATTCGATACAGTTCACGGCACTGCCCGTCTTAAGGCCTATACCTTTCTAGTTTCTGAGCTACGCGCCTGCAAAGGTACAGGCTATTTCGGGGAGACTTTTGCGAGGTCACCCAGGCATTCACAACGCCATGATGACGTCATTCAAACCCTTCCATTCTATTTGCCATGCGGCAATCTAGGTCGCATGACAAAAAATATAATGTATAATTGCTGAAAATATATAATTGCTGAGTCATTCAGATCTGGCGTTTGTGAGCACGATTTCCAGATATAACAAACGCAAAATGGGCTTCAATCAATGTTGTGCAAGGTAACATGACGTAATCAAACAGTGACAGATTGAGGAGCATATTTCTTAAACAGAGAAATTATGTTGTCTAGAACAACCTTTCCCGATTAAAAATATACCAATGATTATAAGTGGATCTATTTCGTCATGTCTTATGCTTGCTTCAATGTCTTCAAACAAGAAACACTTCCTTTATAAATTTCTCCGCCTAGTCTGAGAACAAATACGACGCTCTTGCGTCAAAAATATAAAAAGATGTCAGTATCACCACCTGCATAAGCGTCAGCCAATTCTGTCTCGCAGATCGGTGATGCTAGCACAAACACAAGCTTACATGAATGCGTCTTAGCAACAAGACTAGAAAGCATGTGTCCGAACCAGGCATATGCCTGGTTCCCAGTTTTGGTTCCTGGTTCCAGTTGGTTCCCGCGGCAAAGGGAGACCCTGGATCGTGGCTCCCACTGGTTCTTTTGACCCCCTTCGCAAAGCCATTCGGATGTCAGCCGTTAAAGTTCAAGATTCCTGGATTTATTATTTTTATGCGGGTAACTATTCCTCCTGTGCGCGGGACTACAAAACTAGGCGTTCTGCACATGTGCGTACATGCGGCGCATTTATTCCCTCCAGATCATGGTGGGTTCTGCCATTTGGAGGCTAACGACTAGAGCATGAGTGCAAGTAAGCGGCATAAAACCACGAGTTAATATGCGAGAGCACTACGAGAAAGGACCCAAACACGTGCACACAACGATATTTGAGAGCTGGAAGACCCGCCTCGCCCATTACCACGACACTTCTCCAGAAGCTCAACTCCTCCAATTAACGACTTCACACCATCAGTTTGGCAGCTCCTCCACGCCATACATATGTTCCATGACGCTCATGGAACACTCCAATAAAATGATGACGCATTGAGAAGCATAACTATTACAAGTGAAATTGTGTAGTCTCGAGCAGTCTCTTGCATTTAGCCGCATACCAATAGTTAACGGCCTGCTCCCAGAAGTATCAACGCACGTATCTCTCCATTCTCCAGGGTTTTCTACGAGCAATAATGCCATTACTACTGTCTTATATAGCTGATGCTTGTACCAAGATCTTCAAAAGGGAACGTTCCCTCTTGAAGGGAATGTTCCAAGCTCACTTATAACCATTGGTATTTTTTAAAACGAAGGGAGTGTTCGAGACAACACAGTTGCTCTGTTTCGTGAATATGCTCTTCAAAAGTTATTGTTTGATTGTGTCATCGTACTTTGCAGAGCATTGACTGAGAGCCAATTAATGGCCGTTATATCTGGAAATCGTGTTCTCCAGATATGCCCGATAGGAACGTCTCGACCATTATATTTTTGTCGGCCTTGATCGCAGCATGCCTTATGGAATCATAGGATTTGAATGGCGTTATTATGATGCCATGAATGCCGCGGCGCCCTTAAAATATTCTACCAGACATACTCTCCCCATTTTCCTGGGCGTGCAGTTCAGAAACTGGAGGGGTTTAGGTCTTAACAAGGGCAAAGCTGTGAACTGCATCAAAAGTTCTTCTAGATGGCTATTTCATTTCACAACTTCATAGAAATGTGGAACACTCCATTTAAGGACTGCCCGGGCGTGCAACGTACGACCACCAGGGGAGTACAGGGAGATAATGTGCAGAGCACAGGGGCGGGGTTAGGACGTGGAAGTTTTCCCCGTCCCGAAACTGTGGTGTAAAGTGCCCAGCAGATGATGTCAGGGAGAGCAGCTACATCTTACATCGGGAAAAACAGAGCATTATCATTATGACGTTACATGGAGACAACAGATGCACCTATTTGATTAATCACAAGAAGCCTCTTGAACGATGTTGGAAACGAGAGACATCATCCATATGCCCGCTTGTTGGTTCTATTTACGAGTACCGAATACTTTGACACGTCCCACTTGTCCCACCTGTCGGTTCTATCTACAAATACTGAAAACTTTGACACGACATACACCACAAAACATCCAAGGCGTCAAGCCCGCACGTTTCAGCGTTCGCAAGGCCGGCGTCCTTGCCGACAGATCCGTGGGCAGCGGCTGACCTTGTTGAGGGCCAGCAGACTTCTGAGCCTGTTGACCTCCGCGCGCAGCTCCATCACCACCCGGGAGCCGGGCTCCTCGTTCACCACCGGCCGGTTCACGATGGCTCTGGCTCGGTCGGCGAAGCGCAGCGTGCTGAGAGTGTCACTGTAGCACGTGCTGGCTGGTGACACGGCTGAAACGGCGGCAGCTCGTCACGTCCTCCGAGGCAGCTTCATCAAGACGTTAACCATCAACCTGTTTAACCTGCAGCCGTTAGGGGGTAATCTGAGCGAGGTTTATTGGAACAGCCCCCAACTGATCCACGCACGCCCGTGTATTTTCAGCCCCTGTCACGTGATCATCTCCTGAAGGAATTATTCTTTGGGGATTTCTGAGAAGCCTGCTTTGAGATATGTTTTGTTATGCTTTGCGGGTCATGTCGTTGGCACATCACGTCACTAAACTGCCAGCTTTAACTGCCAGCTTTGTTTCTGCAGCCACATGGGTGGGCACGGTTAGTTACTCCGTTATCTCTTTGCGTAACAGAACTACTTTCTGAGTAAATGAATACACGGAGTCGTTACTTTAAAGAAATTCACTTACTGAGCAGTTCCCGCTGCTTTTATCATCCGCTTCTCGCTAAAATATAGCCCGCTTATTCGCGACTCCCGTACTTTTAATTCTCAAGCGCGGGCGTGAAGGAAGAATCACGCCTACCAGGGTCGAACAGGTAGCTTCTTGGCATGCTTTGTGCATCCAACTTATGTTGATTCCCAAATAGTTTTGCAAAGTTTTGAAATTTGACGATATTCACGAAACAGCAGCCTAGTAATTCAAGTCCATGTGATGAACGAAAACTGGTATCGCTCGTGGCTCATCGAGGGTGTCCCGAAACGCGAAAACGGCTGTTTTCGATGTAGAATGGCATGGCCTGACGCATAAGTGGAAGAGTATAGGCACATTTTCGAATGCATTGGTACGATGTGCGTATACACGAAAGTAAAATTGGACCTGCACAACCTTACCAACAGACATGTCATCGACTGGAAGGACAGAGTGGATAGAGGCTGCCGACCGAAGGACAGAGTGGATAGAGGCTGCCGACCGAAGGACAGCGCGGATAAAGGCTGCCGACTGAAGGACGGAGTGGATAAAGGCTGCCGACCGACAGACAGAATGGATAAAGGCTGCCGACCGAAGGACAGAATGGATAAAGGCTGCCGACCGAAGGAAAGAGTGGATATAGGCTACCGACCGAAGGACAAAGCAGATAAAGGCTGCCGAGCGAACGGGTCTTCAGAGAAGCCTCAACAAGCCTTTGGCCGTAAGAAAATAGGGTGGTCAATGCTTTGCTACATGTTTGGAAGCTGATATCAGAAAGAAAGGCCCTGAATCTCTTTTGGGGATGATGGGCTGGAAATTGCAATATTGAAAATAATCTACTTTCATTATATCCGGAAGTACTGATTCAACGAAGTTATCAAAAACCAGTTGTCATACGGAGACCATTTGATGTTCCAAAGCCATGCTCATGCTTCGCAATTATTCTAACCCGTATTTCGCAACTATTCCGACTTTTTATTCTAAAAAGTCGATTAACACCACACCAGTGGTTTTTCCACTGTGGAACACATTGTACAAAATGCGCTGATTTTATCCCTAGAAAAAAAGCACGATCATTTTTGGTCATTACGCAAATGCAAATTTCGCGGCATTGCACGATCAGATGGGAGGAGTCAGGGCCCACACAAAAAGCGCTGCTTAGGGTGAGCTCGGGTCCCGGAAATCCATCCATTTAAAAGGTTCAGACTTAAAAGTAGACACGTCTTTGTGAAACTACCGTTTATTCAAAGTGGCCCAGATAAAAATCCATCCATGTTTTACTAATGGTGACACCCGCATTCCTTGCACAATCGGGACTCAAGTGACATTCAAATGACCATCCAATGGCAAAACGTGATATATATATATATATATATATATATATATATATATATATATATATATACATATAAGTGACTGATATCATACTCTTTCAATCATGACTCTACGGAACTGTCTCTTTTAGGACGAGGACGAGTATTTTGTCAACACCACCTCAGAGCACTGCATCGCTACCACCCTGTCGCCCCAGGATCACCCCAGGGCGACCGTGGGGCAACTGCACGGGGTCAGTCGGGACGAGGAGGGACCTCAATGAGGCCGGGCGACATTGCGCGCAACTACAAATACACTGGCCACTGTTGAGGGAAACAGTACTCGGCGCAGGTCAACAGCCGGACAAAACGATCACGAATCGGAAAACGGAAACTTCGAAAGCTCTATGAAATAATTTTGCAGAAGGCATACCGGCCGTAAACTTCGCCAGAGCGATTTCCAGATTGATACTCGGAACGGATTGGCACGTACATCACCACGGACTTTTGATGCATCGGCGTAATCTCGATAGCTCGTGTCGCTGTAAATGCTAATTCTGCACAGAGAAGCAACATCTAAATCGCACGTGTGAAGTATATTAGTCAGGAAATTTTACGATAGCTAAGGGGCCCTTCCGTCACAGCCCGGGGCACCTAGCAGCTGCTGTTGTGGTGGTACGGAGACACGGAGCCCCTGATTGATCCGGAAGGCCTCAGAAGACGACATAATACACTGAGCGGGATGCATCATGTCCTGATGCGGATGTGGTGACCCTGAGGCCCTCTGAACTGGGCATCCGGCACAGGGTCAACACACGGGCCGGCACTGAAGGATACTCTACCAGGACAGGGATTCCCATAATTTGGCTTTCCGGCCGTCGATTGAAACGGTGCAGAGGGCCCCTCGTTCGGTGCTGGAGCCCCTGACGGTTACATGTCACCGGCTCATTGTTAATGCGAATCCACGCACCGTCCTTTCTCACGCATCTTTCCAATGTAAATTGGGATTTGGCCAACGCAAAGGACCTTTTGCCATACTTTTTGCAAAGCCCCGAACACACTGGGGGGACCACGGGGTTGCTGCTCCCCGACCCAGCCCGGTTTAGTCCCCGCCTTTATTTGATATCAAAACTTCATCGCACCAAAACTGTTTGAAAGATAATCGTTTAAACACGCGATGAAACTGCATTTGAACACTGTTATGAAAACAAAATTTTTCAAAGCTGTAGAGATTGCCATCACAAATTGTAATTCTTTCAGCACGGAAGCGGGTGAAGAAGTAATTATACGACAATATGATGCAAAGCACCTATATACAAAATGTTTTATGATGCGCGATGAAGAGGAAGTGGGCACAATTTTAGAATCGCATCTATTGGCACCCTGAAATTCCTGAAAAAATGCGATGGCAAAAACAGTCACACCACGTGAATGTAATTCACCGAAACCGGACGAAAACAGCAGTCCGTACCTGAGATATTAAGAACATTGCATTGCATTACATATGCTACGATCCATTTTCGGTTTCCACCTGTCCCTTACAGCGTGCCTTCTATTCATAGGTTTCAGGCACGCGAAAATCCAATTACTTCCCAATCCTGCAATAAACTCTGGGCACGAAGGCAATGTATGTGGTGGGACAGCATATATCGCCGAACGTTTTTATAGCTCAAGCAGCATTTGCATCAATATAACACTACCAATGTGAGGAGGGTGATTCAGTAGACTGATAATTCGGGTCCCATAGTTAAAACCTGTGCGAGGAATGTATTTTTCCTGCAAGAAGATTGCTACATCAAATAGTGATGAATCGCTAGTGCAATATAAAAACTAGGTGACCCCGGTCCCGTTCTATCTGACAATAGAGGCGACACGTCTTCCGCCCGACATTTTTATTGCACCGCCCCTGGCATTGTTATTGCATCAGCTGTTGCTGAATTCACTGCAGCTCTCCCAAATTTTCAGCTTGCGAATTTATAAATGATCTGCAAGTGACTTTGTTTCCTCGCCTCGGAACCCTGTCGTCTAACGCGTGACAGTCCATTTCCGACACTATTTATCATTATGCGAGACCAGCATTTCAAGGGGCAACGTCATTTGGTTCCTTTACATCTTGGATTAAGACAAGGAGCCCCTGAAGGCTGAACAATGCTGTCAAATCATCGATATTCACAATACTAGTGTTTGACTGCACATTTTGCGGCAGGAAATGACGTCACAGTTCCACCGACTTACAACCTGAAAGGCGGCGGACCGCGGCCTGGCGGACACTGGCCAAACCGTCTCTAGCTTTAAAAGCCCATGGCATTACGGCAGCCTTTTGCAGCGGCCCATTTTTTACCCTTATTTACCTGTTATCTTGTGAAAAACCTAACAACATACGCAGACTTGCCTAACAAATGACAGAGTTGGCACACTAATACAAATATAACAATGCCACATAAACAAGATACCAGTATGATCGGTAATTGCACCAAAACCACACCGTCGTGTCTTTTTATCATCTTGCGGCCTTATCCATACCGGTTTCGGTACTGGGCCGCTCTGGGATGTTACAGCAATAGTGCCGATGAACTCACTGAGACCCGATTGACTCGCTGGGTTCGCCATATCAGGTCGCCGCCTACCTGTACAAAAGTCATTGTTACTTCTGACCCCGGCCATCATGTCGACGTGCTCGACTGCCTTAACCACCTCTGTTGCGACATGTTTCGGGTATAGAAGACTGGAGGTGGCTGGCACTATGGTGAGCATCTTCACTCAACACACGGCCTGGTGCCAGTTGAATGTCCTTCCGTCGGGTGGGGGTTAATCTGAGCCCTGACATCTCAGAAACTAAGAGAGCTAAAGACACCAAATTCACAGGGTATACTGACCTGTACATGAACTTACTTGTGTCAAAATTTAAGGTTCCTAAATCATAACATTTGGGTCAAATAGGGTCAAACAGGGTAAAACTCTGCAACACCTGTTCTAAGCAAAAGGTCACAGATTGCCATTTAAGGTCAGTGACCTCAATTAAAATTTATAGGGTCACGGTGACCAAAATCAAAATAAAAGGACTGCTTTAAGCTTTGTGTTTGAATAAACGTTAAAGGCCAGGCATTATGCTCCTAAAAGGGAATGCTCCGCATCTGAAGATATTGGAGCAAGCATCTGAAATCATGCAAAAGCTAAATTATAACTGTTGTTGTACTTCAAGCGGAAAAGACTGCTAAAATTCTCGTTACATCTAGAAATCGCGTTCACGAACGCCAGGCATCAATCAATCGACAATTCTATTTTTCCTGGCCTTGATCGCCGCGTGGACAACGGAATGACAGAGTTTGAATGACGCTTTTATGGCATCATGGACGCCCAGACGACCTTGAAAAAGTCTCCTCAAGACGGTCGGCACGTCTTTGCGCGCGTGCAGCTCAGAAACTGGAACGGTGGAAATCGCGCAGGGCTGTGAAATGCATTGAAGGATCTTCAATACGGTTACCCCAGTTTAAAATCCCATGCATGTGTGGAGCATTCCCTTTAAGAAGTTGACTTCCATTCCCATACTTCCACATTTGTATGGCGGTGTGAAATGAAATAGCCATCAACCATCTTGAAGATCATTTGGTGCAATTCACAGCCCTGCCCTTCTTAGGACCTAAACCCTTCTCGTTCCTCACCTAAACGCTCGCAAAGATATACAGACTATTTCAAAGTCACCCAGGCATACATGACGCCATAATTACGTCATTCAAATCCTGTCATCTCATTATCCATGTGGTGATCAAAGCCAAGCAGAATATACTTGTCAAGTCGTCTATGCCTGGTGTTCATGAGCATGATTTCCAGATATAACGGCCGTCAAATATCTCTCATCGTTGCCAAACGTACAATGACGCAATCCAGCCATCACGACCCTAGAAGCATTTAAAAAAATCTTCTACAGCAGCCTTTTAAACTTAGGTCTCTTGAACACCTTTTGGTGCAGTTCTCCGCCATACCCTTCTTAAGACCTAAGCCCATCTAGTTTCTTAGCTACACGCCCGTGAACATGGGAAGAGGACTTTGGGAGGAGTTTTTCAAGGTCATCTCGACAATTCTGACATCATTATAACGCCATCACGTAAGCCATGCGACCATCAAGGCCGAGCAAAATATAATGGTCGTGTCGTTTATATGTGGCGTTCGTGAGCACGATTTCCAGACATAACGGCCACCAACCAGCTCTCAATCAATGTTGTGCATGGTATAATGCTGTAAGCAAACCATGACATTCGAGGAGCATATTCACTGAATCGAAAAATTGTGTTGCCTGGAGCACTCTTTTCCACTTGAAAATATGCCAAAAGTTACACGCAACCTTATTTCATCATGCCTGACATTTGCTTCAATATCTTCAAAGTTGAAACGTTCCCTCAAAAACCGTTATTTTCTGAGCTTGACGCCTGCGAAATTCTGCATAATATGTCAAAGTCATCAAAGCATGCACGATGGCACAGAAACGTTGTGCGAATGCTGCCACTCCATCGGCCATGTTGTGCTCAAGGTCAAGAAAAATGTGATCATCGACTCGTTGGTGTATGGCATAAGTCAGTACGATTTCTGGCATCAGCGGACTTAAGTTGGTCCTCAAGCAATGCAACGCGTTCCGGGCAAACCTCGGGCATGAATCACATTTTGTACTACATAACACGGGAATTTGGGCAGTGGTACGAGCTTTAACCAAATTAAGACTGGGCGCCATAACCAAGCATGCGAACACAGGTAACGTATTCAAATTCACCGACAAATATGCAAAAACGCCACGAGAAAGGGCTAGAACACGGTATTCGGTATATACCCAACGGTATTCGGGTTTGGTAAACACGTTCCAACCAACTCCACCACCTCTCGGCAAGTTGAAGTACTACAAGTACGTTACCCACCCGTTATGGCCACTCTATCACGGCCTGTCTGACAGCGGCTCTGACGGCATAAAGATGCACCACGACGCAATAAAACAATGACGTGTTAGGGAACACATTTAATAATACTGAAATTATATTGTCTAGAACGCTCTTTGACGCTTAAAAGCTAACCAATAGCTGTAAGTGAGGTTATTTTCTCGTATATCATGCTTGCCTCAATATCTTTAAATCTAGAACATTTCCTGCAAGCGTTATTTTGCTTTCCTGAAACCAGCTGTACCAGACATTGTCACCTGGACACCGCGAAGGTCGCAAGGTACAGAGCTTAGCTTCCTTCGACGCTGCGTGGCCCCCTTGGTGACCGGCGACCATTCTATCGTTGCAGTGGATTTTCCTACCGGAACAAGATCTTGACTCTCACAGAGCACCAGTTTGGGACATACTGGCGTCAGTTGTCGGTGACGTTAACACTCTGGCTTTTGACACTCGTTTTCTCCGCATCGAAGACTCGTGGTATTTCATCCGCCAACTGCCATGCACCACATGCGCACTATTTCCGGACCACCGGCCGCCACTTGGCGCAGGCCAGCTCGGTCCGGCAGTCACCTACTTGAGACCATCACCGTCTTGGAGTTGCCGCCGAGCGAGTCCTTCAGCAGCCAGGTGAGCACCGAGCCGCGGTACGAGACGAATGTGCGGCGGCGGCGCCCGTCCCCAGTCCGCTCTGACCCGCTCGGCGCCGGACAGCTGCTCTCGCCTGGGGGATACCGTCGCCGGTCGTCATCTGACAGGCGCTGCCCGTTCGCACCGGGGTCTGGACCCGGTGTGTGCATCTAGAGCATTCTACCTTTTATGATCAGCGAGTGACAAATAACAAAATCCCATCTATGATTCCCATCAGAATGTGTCAATAACTTACCTCTGTAACAAAGTTTTTGCTCAGTACAGGAAAAGTCACCGCGATCAAAAACCTCCAAATATCTAAGGACATAAGGTCTCTGGTGTCCGCAACAGTCACGAGGACGAAAAAAAACACTCAGAATCCTTTAACGCCATCTGTTCCGTCGGACAATAAACTACACATAGCAGCCGTAACGCGATTCGATGCTTCCTTTAAAAAGACGCATTCAGCGCCTCACTAGCCACCCGTCGCGTGAGATAGCTCTGGGATCACAGGCGGTTCCCCGCTCTGTGATGGTTTAGCGGCTCATCGCACGATGTCGAACTCGCTTCTCATTGGTTGATTATCGCGTCATTTCCGTAGCATATGATGAGGATCCGTTTCCGTTGGAAGTGGTATATAAGGCGCACTGTTTGTTGTCATGCATGCGAATACGCTCTATGGACCTGACGACGTAGGGATGCTGTGGTTATGCACGTGGACAATGTGGTGTGGTGTGAGTGTTGGCGAGTGAAAGTTACTGGAACATAGCAGCTGTTGACTGACAAGATTTACCCTTCTCTGACTCGCGAGAAAGACTGGTACGAGCCAGGTCATCACCAGTCTAACTACCGAGCAAGCAATTATAATTCTACTACAATCTCGTGTGCTGATTTCCACGGTGTAACTTTCGCCTCGATACGATCACGAAATGGCGGCCTGTGATATTTTTGACAAGGTACTTTTCTTTAACGCGTTTGGGGGCCGATAGCGTTTTTTCCTAAACAAACGAATGATGCGCTACTAGACACCGTTGAACGGCAGCGACGTTAAGGAGCGTCTGCATCTTTCAGTCGTGTTTGCGAACTCTCGTGACCTCGTAATATAAAACTGCGTGAGCGAGGATCATCCCACAGTACTAACAAGATGCTTTTTTATCTCGAATCGATAGTGCTGAGCTAGCTTTTAGGTACGATAATTACAGAAAAGTTGGTTCTAAAACTATCGCCTTTTTAACACACACGCAGGCGCCACCCGAGCGCTGCTGGGAGGTACCGGCTTGGCGAGCCCCTTGGCACCAACGGCTCAGACACGTAAAACGCTGGCACAGGAGGCAAGAATGCAAGGATCGGTGTGCCGTCTGTGGCTTCCCACTCGTGTATCGCGCTCTCCATCCACCCGCCCAGCGTTCAACAATTAATTGCTAATTGGACGTTGACATGATGCTCAGACTGCCACCCCTCCACTCGGCCTTTCAGGGCTGCTTCTGACAGGTAGCAGTGGGATGTTTCGGATTACCTGCTGCCTGAACCGCCAAGCAGCCATCTAGACTGCCCGCAAAAACTGTGTGTGGGTCACTTTTGTTGTCTCGATATCGCGTATGGGGCAGCCCGTCACGCGCAGTCTGACTTACCCACCTTAATTACTCCAGTCGTTAACGACTGCTACGTACTAAAGGCAAAACACATGGGCGGTTGGCGGGAAGCTGGAGCGGGAACCAGGTACACCTGTGCCACGGAAACTTTCTTCGCTGAGGTCAGGTTCCATATGAAGGATATAATCAAACATCAGACCAGATCAAACATTGCTCCGTTTGGTTGTTCATATCGCTACCGTAATAAATAGCCAAATTTACCCTGTTAATACTTTTTCATCACCGAACTAAAAACTTTGGAAATAGGGCGTCCAATCCTTGCGTATATGCGGGGCAGATGTGCATGAAATGTCACACCATGGATCTTTTGCTGTTGTACATATACACGCCTGTACACTTATACATTGTGTGGGAATTGAGCTAAACGATAACGTGCATTGTGCTGAGGAGAAGCTACTAAGCTGCGATAAACTCCTCTGATTCTGAAGACATCATAGCAAGTAAATTATAGGAATATAATAAAGATGTGTCGTTTCCCCGATAAACTAGCCTACAAATTGGTGCCACGCCATGGTGCCGATCGCAAAACGCCAGGGAGGAGCCAAGCTGGTCGTGGACATAACAACCATCAATAGGTTCGTTGGAGAGAGCTGCCTACCCCGTCAGACCGACCCATGACGCAGTGGCGTCCATCGACGGAGACGCGCGGTGGCTGACCACCCTGGACGCTGCCATGGGCTACTTCCAGGTCCTGATCGCGCGCGCCGCAGGATCTCACCTGCTTCATCACTCCCTGCGGCCACATGGAGTTTCTCAGGGTCCTCATGGGCCTGATCTCGTCAGGAGACGAGTACAACCGCCATCGCTCTCGGCGACATCCCGATGACGACAAGGCCGTAGACGACCTGCTGGTCCAAGACGCGATCTACCGTGCCCATCTCTCTCATGTGGTCACCATCCTCAGATGCTACCGGGAGAGGTATCATGATCGACCCGCGAAAGTTCCAGTTCGCTCGGCAGTCGCTGGACTGCTCAGGCTGTCGGATCGCGGACCAGGACTACACGATCGACGGCGTCAAGCCTCGGGCGATCTCAGACCGCGTCCAGAGAACTTGGCTGACTTGAGGTCGTCCCTTGGGCTCTCTTATCAGCTGGCTGACAGCTCAGCGGATGTCAGCGAGGCCTGGCCCCTCCGAGACCTGCTGAAGCAGTCCACTGATGGGCCGTGCAACATGAGGCGGCCTTTAAGGACTTTAAAGCGTAAGTGCTGCTTGCGATACCCGTTCTGGCGTTCTTTAATGCGCGGCTGCCCACTATGCTCCAGACAGACTCTACACGAACTCGCGGTCTGGATATCGCCCTGCAGCAGAGCCACGGAAGTACGCGGTGTTTCGTCCAGTGTGGCTCCCGCTTTCTAAGCGACACCAAGTCACGCTATGCGGTGGTGGAGCTGGAATGCCTGGCCTGCCTGTGAGCCGATCGCAAGTGCCATATATTTTTGGCCGGCCTGCCACACTTCGACCTCGTCGTAGATCACCGACCGCCCGTCCCGATCCTGAATTCGATGAGGCTGTCTGCGATCAACATCTTTCGTCATCAACGGTGCGAGAGAAGATGCTGAACTACAGCTTCACTGCCGTGTGGCAGAAGGGCAATTCGCACTGCATCTCGCACGTCCTGTCACGCTCTCCCGTCTGCGACCCAGCCCCGGGAGATGAGGCTTCGTGGAGGTAACGGACGCACTGCACGACGCCGTGTTCACTGCTCTGAGCGCGACCTCTAAAGATGGCGCTCGGATCGCGCCGCTTCAAGACCGGACTCTCGACTCACGCCGAGCAGCCGCCGCCCGAAATCCCAAGCACTGAGCCCGCCGTGAGCCATCAGGCGGGATTCCTCGGAAGCGGCGCGAAGTACAACTAGCTCTGCTGCCCTACTGGGAGTCCGTACTATTCTGGATGTTGACGGCGGCCTCGTCGTCTACGGGGTGCGGGTCGTGATTCCGGCTAGTCTTTGCCGCGATGTCCTCCTTCGTCTCCACCACGCCCACCAGGCAATGGAGAGGACCAAGCACCGTGCACGGCTCGCCGTGTGCTGGCCGGAGATCGACCAAGACATCTTCAGGGTTGTCTCATCGTGCCAGAGAGCCGTAGGCGGAGATACAGATAGCTCGCCAGAACTGATAGCCCGCCGCCAGCTGCAGCAACGAGCCGCTGTGGCAGCGAGACGACCCCCCGAACCGCGTCCTCGAGTCTGAGTCGGCAGACTATTTCATGCCGTCGGCGGACGGTCCTCGCCTACGTAGACGGGCTGTCGGGCTGGCTGTTTGTGACGGTCTGCCCCGGGGAGGCATCCGCAGACCACCTGGTGAAGCAGCTACGACATCTCTCCCAGACGAGCATGTCCGTCGTGTTGTAGACAGACGGCGGAACGCAGCCCGCCTGTTCCACGCTCCGTCCACTCCTGAACCGGTGGGGACTACGCCACGAGATGTCGTCACCGCGGCACCCCGCGTTCAAAGGACGCGCCGGGGCCGCCGTGAGGGCGGTGAGGGGGTCATCGTCGCTGCGCCGGCTAGCGGACGGCTGGACGACGATCAAATCAACCCAGGCCTGTTCGAAACGTGCAACACGCCACGCCACGGCCGACGGCAGGTCACCGTCCCGGACACTGTTCGGCCACCCGCTGCGGTCAGGCGTGCCGGCCACTGCCGGGCAGACGCGCCCGAGCGGCAGCGCGCCGCCGATGAGTATGACGCCAGAGCTGCTGACTTACATGACGACATACGGCATCGCCACGAGGCCTCAGGACGCCGCAGATGAGTGTGACGCCAGAGCTGCTGACTTACGTGACGACATACGGCATCGCCACGAGGCCTCAGCGCGCCGCCGGTGAGTATGACGCCAGAGCTGCTGACTTATGTGACGACATACGGCATCATCACGAGGCCTCAGCGCGCCCA